ATTGAGACCGCTACTGTGTATAAATACCTTGGTGTAAGACTAACATCTGACCTTCCCTGGAATAACCACATTGAAGTCATTACCGCCAATTCATCTGGAACTCTTGGACTAAGCAGACGTAACTTAAAAAATCCCTCCACCCTTTGTCCCTAACCTAACCTTTAACACGTACGTCAGACCAAAAATAGAATATGCTTCAACCATCTGGAATACCCATCGACTGTACCTCATCAATACGCTGTAGAGGCAGTTCAGAACAGAGCTGCTCGCTTCATTTCATCCACTTATGACTTTTCTTTCAGTGTCTCGGCGCTAAAAACTGAACTAACCATGTCCTCTTTGCAGCTTCGCAGGAAAGTCTCTCAGCTGTGCCTTATTCACAAAATCTACTACCACATTCCCGACCTCAAAACCACTTTGTTATTACCCCTCGACCGAACATCTTCTCGCCTCAACAACGTCTGCACCATCAAACACACTTCTGGCTCTACGAACGCTTTCAATTGGTCATTCCTTTCTCAAGCCATCAGCCACTGGAACAGTCCCCCATCCTCCATTGTCACCATCTTGGACCCTGCTGATTTCTCCTCTGCAGTAAAACTACACCTTTCTTGGCCCATGTGATGGTGTGCGGGGCTAGGCAGATCAGTGAAAACACTTACGCAGAGCGCTTGCCAGGCCAGACTTGTACGTAGTTCAACTACTTTACTCAAGTTACTGTAGTTTAACTACTTTTCTGGGTAGTGTAGTAACTTTTAATTACATTTCTATTCTAGTAATCAGTAGTTTACTTTAACTACTTTTCCGAGTGACTTCCACTCAAATTACAAATTACTTTCTAATTTTAGTGGTTGTTTTGCCTATCAACAGAGAACAGAGGTCGGAAGGTCAGCTGATATTTGCAGAGGGGGAAGCATGCGGAGTAGAAAAGGGGAGGATGGGAAGGAAGAAAGTGATTTAGATAGTCCAAAGAACCCCAAAATTTTAACGAGCCCCCCCCACTGCAACAACACTGCTACGAGGCGCGGGGAGCGAACAGACACGACGCAAGAGAGGTCGAGTAACTGTGGGATTAGCTCCGAATAGTGGCGTTTCTTTATATTCCGAAGCTCAAGGAGGCTTGACGCATTTGAAGAAAGGGCTTGTCCCCGCTTCTCTCCAATGTAGGAATTCTTGCCCACTACAGGAGGTGCACACACTGCTCCTTTTACGGTGCAGGCGATAGAACCCCTAACAACGACGCTCACGCCGGATGGGCTGCTCGTGTATCACTCGAAGCGCGTTAACCCACCCCCGCGCCTGCGTTCACGCCGCTTCGCGGTGACGGTGTACGGCTGCTAATTACAAATCTATTAACCCACCTAGCCCCCCCACCCCCCGTACACGCCGCTTTGCGGCGTCCGGTCGGCAACCCAAGCCCCGCTGCCCCCCATGCACTTCCGTAAATAGAGTCGATACGATTTAGTTTAGCGATGTTTCGTCAACAACATTCGTTTCTTTAGTGTTAATGGTAAAAAAGAAATGTAAATATCGCCAAATGCCTCGACAAAACAAAATGTTCGAGAAAAAAAATAAAAAGAAGTAAGCCGGCCCACACCATAAATAGAACCCGGGTCTGACACGTATGAGGCAGACATCTCACCACTAAGTTACGCTACCTCTTCGGAAACTCGCATTGCATCCGCTGCCTATGTTGACGGCGGCAGCGCCTATCTCCAAGCAAGCAAGCAAAACTTTATTTTGTGTAAGGGCCTACGTCCTGGTCTGGACGGCCCGTCCGGCCCATGTCTCGCGGATGGATTCCGTAAGGTTACCGTGTAGCCTTGTTCGTGGAGCAAGGCTTTACGAACCAGCCAATCCGGCGTGCGTGAGCACCGTTGCTAGGGTTTGTATCGCCTGCGCGTTAAAAATATGCCCGCGCGGGTCGGGGGGCAGTGCCCTTGGTATTCCTTAGGCGCCGCCGGCCTGTGTCTGCTCTGCCCAGTGGCGGCCGTTTCAGGGGGGGCAAAACGCATGCCTTGCCCCCCCACTCTGAGAACTGGGGGGGCAAGTGCCCCCCTTGCCCCCCCGGTTGGTACGCCCATGGCTTAAACCTAGATGAAGGACTAACAGCACTATTAAGGAACATTTACAAAGATAACAAGGTGATTATAACATGGGAAGGAAAGGCGACAGGGAAAATGGAGATAAGACGAGGCCTTAGGCAGGGGTGCCCGTTATCGCCTTTGCTGTTTATGTTGTATCTGAGAGGATTGGAGGATAGACTAGAGAAGAGTGGGCTTGGATTCGACCTTTCTTACAGTAAGCTAGGCCAAAAAATTCGGCAATCCTTACCGGGATTGATGTATGCGGATGATATCGTACTAATGGCTAACAACAGGACAGAGTTGCAGGAATTGATGAGCATCTGTGGTAGGGAAGGAGAGGAATTAGGTTTAGAATTCAGTAGCGAAAAATCAGCAGTCATGATTTTTAACGAGGATGAAGTTGAGAGGCTGAAGATACAGAATATTACAGTTGAGAGAGCTAGTAAATACAAGTATCTAGGAGTATGGATATGTGATGGTGCAGAATATCTCAGAGAGCATGAAAAGTATATAATAGGTAAGGGCAACAGAAATGCAGCTGTAATGAAAAATAGAGCACTTTGGAATTACAACAGGTATGAGGTGGTGAGAGAGATTTGGAAAGGGGTCATGGTGGCTGGCTTGACTTTTGGAAACGCGGTGCTATGCATGAAATCCGAAGTGCATGCGAGACTAGAAATAAAACAGCGCGGAGTAGGTAGACTGGCTTTGGGGGCACATTGCAAAACGCCAAACCAGGGAGTACAAGGAGACATGGGGTGGGCGTCATTTGAGAGCAGGGAAGATAGAATTTGAGGATAGGTTGAGGCAAATGGATGGGAGCAATGGGCACGAAAGGTTTTCAGCTATTTATACATGAGTGTAGACACAAAGTGGAGACAGCGCACTAGGAAATTAAGAGGAAAGTTTTGGGGCTATAGCGAAGATACGGAAGAGCAAGTCTCAGTTAAGAAGAAAGTTAAGGCCACAGAAAGAGATCGGTGGCTAGAGGGAATGCAGACAAAGACGGCTCTGGAAAGCTATAGAATAAACAAAACAGTTATTGCCAAAGAAAGCATTTATGACAATTCTAGGGGAAGCTCATTGCTGTTTGAGGCGAGGACGGGTGTTCTGCGAACCAGAACATACAGAGTGAAGTACCAGGAAATGGATACAGCGTGCACTGCTTGTGGAGAGGAGGACGAGACGGCTGAGCACTTGATACTCTACTTTAAAGGGCTTCACCCTATGCCTACCGAAGACAACATAGATTTAATAAAGTCATTGGGATTTAGAGACAGCGAAGGGAGGGTGGATTTCAAGACTGTAGAGATTACCATGCAAAGATTAAGTGAATGGTGGCAGAAATCGAGAGAAAACTAGGTATTTTCTTATTCACTGATGGCAAGAAGGTTTCATAGCCTCACTTTCTTTGCACTGCGGAGTGAATATACACGTTTGCAAGTCCGGCTTCAGGGCGCTGCCATCTTGCTTGGCTGGGGTGCGCTTGGTCGAGCCATAATCCAATTGCGAAGCCTTGCTAAGGCGTCGTAATCGGATTATGGCCGCGCCCAAGAGCGCACCCCACTGAGAAAGATGGCGGCGCCCTGAGACCGGACTTGCAAACGTGTATAGATTTCACATTTAAATATTCTAAGCTTAAATGGTAAAACAAAATGGCTAGGTGGCGTAAGCTACCGCCCGATCCAAAGGGCTCAGCCGTATTCATCCATCCATCCATCCATCCGCGCGGAAACGCCGCACGAAAGGCTGGTGTCTGGCGAGATAATCGCGATAAAAAGTGATTTTACCGAAATATGTGAACGATTATGCCATTTTACTTGAAATTTAGAAACTGGCGGACACCCTCGTTTAATAAAAATATGTTCTAAAGCAGACGAACGCGTGTCTTCCTTTGTCGTCTGCTTATCTGTTGACGGGTCCGTTCCCGGTGAAAGCTCAACTTTGGAATCAAGAGTGCCGCTGCTGAGGCATCTTGATTGTTCCTATTTATTGTTTTTGTTGCACTCTCTTCTGCAGATATTATCAAAATATTTCCCGCGCTGCCCTGCGATGCCGCAATACTCGGCAAGTGAGTGTGCCCAGGCAGCCAAGTGGTACGTGGAGCGGAACTCGGTGGCCACAGCACAACGAAAATAAACGCCCGCCCTCACGCCCGACTGTTTTGACTTGGGCGGATCGTTTTGTGAGTGGAGAAGACTTTAAAAAGAAGAATCCAGTCAGTGAACGTGAGAGCCTGCTGAAAAATGAGGAGCTCTTTGAAGCGGTGCTTGCTATCTTCGAGAGCGACCCGCAAAAGACGAGCAGCTGTAAATAAATTATCTCGTCGCATCATAGTGTCTTTTTGCTTGCATGACGATCTGTCAAAACTTAATTTGAAACAGATAATTTCAACAATCGTTCATATATTTCGTTCAAATCACTTTTTATCGCGATTATCTCGCCCGACACCAGCCTTTCGTGCGGCGTTTCCCGCGTTTTTGCGTTCAGCGCGCCACCTGGGGGGGCGTCGCGAACCAGATAGCAGACGGCGAACGGGAAATGCACGTCTGCCATTTTTGTTATCTTTCTAATAATTTGCTACTCCCGAGTTGACGTCTGAAAAAAATAGGCAAAAAACTTTGGAATAAACGACGTTCGTGTGCCCAATTTCAGGTATGTATGTTTGAAATTCGATTTTTGCTAGGCGTGCCAAAGGTGCCAAATGTGAAAGTTTTTACGGCCGCACCCTGTAGTTGCGTGAGCACACTAGCGCCACTTGAACCTCTAGCGTACATTGTAATAACTCTATGGTCTTTACATTTTAACGTATAGGTTTTAAAAGTGAGTATCGTAATTAATATTTTTTTATTGTAATCCTAATCTTGCATTTATTATGTTTTCGCCATAGTTTTCGCGCTTTACCAGCTTTACGTTACGTGTGGTTTGGCTGATGCCACATGTTGCTGAAAAATGGAGGCTCTGGGGAATCGCGAGTTTTGCTAACAATATAAATCCATCTGAATCGTTATTAACAAAAGCCGTGTAAGTACTGATTAATTTATGAATAGTTGTACGATGTTATTCTTCACTAAATGCCTGTATAATTTATTGGCTTTGTACGATGTTATTCTTCACTAAATGCCTGTATATCTTGGCGTCTGCCGGCAGGTCGATTGTTTACTCGCTAGGGAAAAAAGTGGGGAAAAGCTCGGACGGGGAGGTTCTGTGCCTGTGCCCAGCCTGCTTCGCTTTTTGCTGCTTGTAGTCTCAGAGTACAGTTCATTGATGATCACCGCTTGCGACCTCGTTACCGTGTGGTTATGCTTCTGTATTTCGATATGTTGTGTAATTAAAAAAAAGTATATTTGCTGCTGTAAGCTGCGCTGATCTGAGTGGCTGCTAACTTAATTCCGCCTCTTCGTTGTTACAGGGAGGTTCCTGGTGGTTTAAAAGAATAAGCCAAAATGTACCTGTATAATCTAACGTTACAACGTGCTACCGGCATTACGCATGCCGTGCACGGTAACTTTTCGGGTACGAAGCTTCAGGAAATAGCTGTTTCGAGAGGCAAGATACTCGAGCTTCTTCGGGCCGACCCCAATACCGGCAAAGTCTACACACTCTATGCTTCGGAGGTGTTCGGAATCATTCGTTCCATGATGAGCTTTCGTCTCACTGGCGGTTCAAAAGGTATGAGCAACGATTCGCATGTTTTTGCTTGCCGATTAGTGAATGCAACGTTCGTACGCGTTGGTGTTGTATATGTTGGGTTCTTTCAGATTACCTGGTGGTCGGTTCGGACTCGGGAAGGATTGTAATTCTGGAATACAACCCACAGAAGAGTGCGTTTGAAAAGGTTTGTATCCCTACTTGGATTTACAGGTAGGAGGGTTGTGATTTAGTGTAGTTGCTTGTGCCAGGTCATCTTCCACTCCTCCTAAATCTGTCCCCGATCATTAACCTGTGCACATTGCACGACGCTGCTAGTAAAGGTGTTGGGATATCCAGTTCCTAAAATTATACTTGGCTACATGACACGACATCCAACGCCAGCAACCACCATGCTGGTGGTTGAGTTGACGGCCATTTGCCTCAAGACTTGGATAAACGGTGCCGCGTTCGGCTATAGCAATTATTACGTAGCCTGGCGATCGTTTCATCGGCATTCACCGTGACAGAGTAGCTGTCAAGTCGGAGAAACTAAAAAAATTGCCACGTTTTGTCATCACTGAACTTGTAATCGCAACATTTAAATGAAGTTGCATGTCAGTAGCATGTTTTTATATCTTTAAATGGCCTGACCTTCCTGAAACCACTGAGTTGCGATAACTACTCATTGCAAACCAGAACCAAGTTAAACCCTTGTGTTCAGTTTTCATCATCACCACCACAAGGGCATGCATGAAAATATTGCGTCCCTGATTGTCTTCTGCCGCTTCAAACGTGTCCGAGTTCGAGCTGCTCACATGTTTTGATGTGAATGTGATCCCAGCAATACATGTTGCAGCGCGTGGATCTGGGTAAAAACTTATCAGCAACCCCGAAGTTGTCCCGTCTGAAGTGGTCCTGGCCGTTCTTAGAATGTTCCAAGTGCTTCCTGTACTTGCTTTTTCTTTAGGCCCGGTTCAGACGGTGCCATCTTCCCAGCAATTTTAGAGTTTGCTGACAAGTTCTGCCCCAGGTCCTTAAGGCCCGTTCACACTCCTGCAACCGAGTACGAATGAGAGAGACGAGATTTCTTAAGACTTCTTAACGAGCGAACACATGGCATGCTGGTGCCATCTATGCGGTGACCCTGGAACTGCATTTCACAAGAGCAAAGGTTTTGCGGGATTTCCGAGGTCAAATGTGCGTAATACCTATAAGAAAGGCTCGATTATAACGTTGACAAAAGTTTTTCGAGCCAAGAAAGAAGGGATAATGCGCGAGAGAAATAGGAAATATGCCGGACCGCCAAGTTTACACTGCTTCCCAATAGATGGCGCCAGTGTGTCCTCTCGTTGTAAGAGGTTTTAAGGAACCCAGTTTTAAGAGGTCGCAAGAGTGTGAACGGGCCTTTACGCTACAACACGAGTTGCCAGGATCGGGTCTGCATCGAGACTGTTGACAAACTAACAACTCCGAGACACTCGAAGCGGCAACAGCCAATCGGGGATGCAATATTTTCACTTAAGGATTTCACCTCCACAGGGGATGCCGGTGATAACAGAGGATGGGATTTAACTTTTTGTTCTGGTTTGCAGTGGATCATTTTTGTGGCTAAATGGTTTCAAGAAAACTAACTGGTATTCCCAACGCCATTAAAAGGAAATGCATAATTTGTGTTTAAATAGTTGCAGAAACTTACAATTTGGCGATATGAGTTTCAGTGGTTTCTGCGTGTGACACTGGTGGCCCGTGTTGCTGGTGTTCCATTGTCGAGGCTGGGACAGGTTGCTCCCTGGAGCCTGTCTTAGGCCCACTACAGACTGGACTTTTTCCCTACAATTGCGAGGTTGCCGATGAGCTTTGGTTTTCTGCTCGACTAAGTGTTTTCTCTTGGCTGTTTCCTTCACTAGGTGCACCAGGAGACGTTTGGCAAGAGTGGGTGTCGCCGCATTGTGCCCGGCCAGCACCTTGCCATGGACCCCAAAGGCCGAGCCCTCATGGTGGCCGCCGTGGAGAAGCAGAAGCTCGTTTACATTCTGAACCGAGATGCAGCCGCCCGGCTCACCATCTCGTCTCCCCTGGAAGCCCACAAGTCGAGCACACTGGTGTACCACGCTGTTGGAGTGGACGTGGGCTTTGAGAACCCGGTGTTTGCCTGCCTGGAAATGGACTATGAGGTGGGTGCTTTTTCGAAGAGCGTCTTGCTCACACCGTGGGGAACAACTTGTATGTTGGAGGAGTATTTCACTCGACTATGTTTCGGGTAACTTCAGGCCCACTTCGGACGGGACAATTTTCTCCGCGATTGCAAGGTCGCTTGTGAGTTTCTCTCTGGATCTTTGGGCTGCTATACATATTGCTGGGATCGAGTCCGGCTCGAAACGGGCGAGCAACTACGACCACACGGAGACGTTTGAAGTGCAGGCAGCAGCCAATCGGGGATGCAATATTTTCTTGTGACCCCCCCCTGCCCCGGGGTTAGTGGTGATGGCAGCTTAAAGGGACTCTGACAGGGTATTTATGCTCGCCGAGGTTTTTAGTCGTATGTGACATATCAGAATTTACGGCTCGAAATTTGGTTTCTTTCCGCCCGAAAACCGCCGATCGAGAATTGTCCGGTTTGAGTTGTGCTCACTCTCTTTTCCGTGGTCACGGGCTGTTTTCTAAGGTTTCGACGCGACCACCAAATGTAATCAAAGTCGTGGCTCATTGAAAGCACACACTCAATATAAAAAATAAAAAAAAAATATGCAATTCATTTTTTGTGGCTTCCAAAAAGCTGCAAATATGTTGATTGAAGAAAAAAAAAAAAAGTTGCACAGACAACCGGAAGCATTCTGTGCGTTCACTGCGCACTTCTCAACATGGCATCGTTTCGCATATCGTGGGACTCACGGATGGCAGCGGACGACGGGCGTGGGACCTCTACTTCAAAACTGTTGTTCACGGTACCGGCGAATTCTGTCTTCCTTTGAAAGAGAAATTTTGGACCGATCAAAAGAATTATATCCATCCCAAATGACACGCCCGACCAGCAAGCCGTCTCGGTGGCTCCGAGGCGAGAGTGCCGGCCTACGGATCCCCATGTGGCGGGTTTGAATCTCTGCCGAGGTGCCCGCAACCTGACGGAGGCTTATTGCGGAGAAGGCGCCGTGTAACCGAGCTTTCGGTTGCACGTCAAAAGATCCCGAGGTGGTCGAAATTAATCCTCAGTCCTCCGCTGGGGCGTGCCAGATGCCCGTCGTTGGTTTGGCACGTAAAAAACCCCCAAATTTGACTTTTGATTTTGGCGCCCGACCAGCAAGCCGATTGCATGAAGGCGTCGCCGAGCCGTCGTCCGTTCTTGTGGCTGAAGACATCGCTCTCTAAAACGTCAAGCACGAAGTGCGTACATTGAGTTGAATACGCACGCGTACGGTTTCTTTACTTGGTGCGAATGTGGCCAATGCGTAATGCTACCCGACTTCAAGCCGGGAGTGCATGTACTGGAGGGATGGCAGCAAACTTTCCGACATACAGTCGACCGGCTAAATTACTACGAATGAAGGAGTTCCTTAGTAGCTCAGTGGAAAGACGTCCGCTTCACACGCAGCGGGCACGAGTTCGATCCCTAGTGTGGGCGTACCATTTTTAAAATTTTTTTTAAAAACATTTTGCGGTGTTTACATTTTTCCTTACAATTCTCACTGAAAAAAACAATTGTTGTGAACGATACGTTGCTGAACTAAATGGTATGGGATTTTATTTTTGAACCTCTGCCGCACAATGCCACTTTCAGATGCAGGACATGTGAGGCAGCTCTTCACGCAACATCTTGGGAGTATTCTTTTCGGAGCCGATAACGGGAATTCACCTTGGGCACTCACTACTAACTGCCAACACTTAAATGTACAAAACAACTCATCTTGAAGTACAGAACAGTGAGCGGAACAAACATAACTGCAAAGGAATTGCACGGCGAGCGGATCTCGAACGCATTTCGTCTGCTGCACCCGAAAGAAAAAAAAATTGCACGGTTGGGTGTTGCCACGTGACTTCCGCCACTCACTCTCTTCTCTCCACTTCTCCGTGCGGTGTCGGGGTTTCGGTTTCAGTTTTAAGCAGTTGCGTTTTTTGGCTTTATTAAAAAAGTATGCGACTCTGTAGCAAAAAAATTAAGTGGGTAGTATTCCGACACCATAATAAATCACTATGGGGATGAATTGAGCTAGTTGGTTATGATACACCCTCCTTCCTTGAAAGTTCAGCTGGTTCCACCCGTACCGTAAGATAATAAATCGCCTGGCAAAAAAAGAAAAGAAAAAAAGAAATTTGGTGGGTTGAATTGTCCCTTTAAAACTGGGATTAATTTTCTTCTGGCTCGAAATGGACCGTTTTTGCGATTAAATTGATATAAAGTAAAATGTGTGTATTCTCAACACCCCTTAAAGATATAAAAAAAAAGTGTTTTGAACCCATAACTGTGTCTGAATAGTGCGAGAAAATAATTTTAATAATGATGACATAATATGGCAATTCTAGTATTTGCAGTTGCTGCTTGCGAACACTAGTATTGTTGCTCGTGAACGCTGTGTTGCTGGTTATGGCATCAAGATGCAGGGAAAAACTGTCGCATCTCAAGTGGGACTTGTATCTCAACCCCTTAACGAGATGCTGACCGGAAATTTGGATTTTGTAAGAAAGTCCGAGGACATCTAAGCACTTCTTATGAGTTGTGAATGTGAAAGCATGAATGTCGCTCTTCTGCTCCCTTAGTTAGTCTGCGGCGTAGTGGCGTGGACGGCCACGTTTTCCCGGCCGACGGCCGAGCGCGCACTGAGCTCGGCCGTGCACCCTCCCAGTTAATGCTTTCGCATTAAAATAAGGCCAAAGAAGTGTTGAACAGGACACTACAAACTCCAAAACATCCCTCATACATCAGTATCTCAAACGGATGGCAGTATGTTTGGAAAAGAAAGGTGCAATAAAGCGAGGACTGTGACATCACAATCCTCCTGGAACAGTTGAGAATGAGGGTAAGCTGCCTTGCTTCCCTCCTCTTCGCTCCAGTTGCCCTGCTCGAGGGGACAAAGCGAAGAGGAGAGCGAATGATAGTCGTGACGGGACATGTCTCGTTGGCCTCGTCAGCTGTGTTCAATCGCACACTTTTTTTCCAAAAAGTGCAGCTAACTGTTGGAGATATCGCTGTACGAATGATGTTTTTGGGTTTTGCACCGTCCTGCTTATCGCTCGAGTCTTGTTTTGTTAGCTGCAAATTTTGGTTCAGCATCCCCTTTAACCCTTTGCCTACTGCAAAACTTTTGAAAAAATAGCTATTTGAAAATACCAATTTCTTTTATGTGCCCTATAAATTTAATATGCAATACAAAGGCCAAAAACAAATGCCAAAAAAATTGTTATATGAGAAATTTTAGAATGCACTGCAAAAGAAAAGGGGACAGAAGTTCGGCTTTACTGCATTACCGCAGACAGTTCATATCACCTTGCACATCGACGTTCAGGCCAGGCGTAGCAGTACCGCAGACAGTTCACATCACTTGCACATTGACATTCATGCCGGGTGTAGCAGTGAACGCAAAACATGGAGGGAAATTTTCTACATTGATTCTAGTCTAGTGCCGATACGATGTCCTTACAGAATCGGAGTCGTCCGAGCTAAAATCCAATAACTCGATTGCATCGCTCTCGCGGGCCAATGAAATATTAATTTTTCTGTCTTCTGAATCTGAAGAGACGTCGCAGTTTGCCACAATTTTGAGGGAAGATCGTTACTACGGACGCAGCGACCAGAAGTTGGTGTCGCCATTTTTAAATCCCCTGTTGCCCACGTTGGAACAATTTTCTGCCAAAATTAAGGGATCTACCGTATTCTTATTTTTCATGAAGTGCCATCTATCCACGGCAAAGCTAACTAAAAACACGTGGACTAGCCCAGTTCGCCCATGGTTGCGTATTGGAGCCCGAACCAACCTGGACGAGCCCAGCTCGTCTTTGGGGGAGTGGTACAAACAATGTGGACGAATCCAGGTCGTCCATGGGAGGGAAAGGGTGAAAGGAATGCTGAACTGCAAATCGAATTTCAGAAAACAACATAGAATCGATAGGCAGGACGCTACAAATCCCAAAACGTCGCTTATAAAGCGGTATCTCCAACGGATCGTCGCATTTTTGTCAAAGAAGAGCGCGCTCGCACAAGGCAGAAAAGACACGTGACCTTGCAATTCTTATTTCCTCCTCTTTTCGCTTTGACTCCACGAGGGCACAGAGAAGAAAGGGAGCGAGGCCATTTCTCCTTCTTCTCAACTCTTCTGCGATAAGATGGTGTCAACATTCTCCCTCAATCGCTCCTTTATTTTCCAGAAATAGATCCATCCGCTCGAGAAATGGCTAAATGAGTAATGTTTCGTGGTTTATGGCACCCTGTTGAACACTTCTGCAAGCTTATTTTGTGAAATCCGAATTTCGGTTCAGCACCCCTTTAAGCGGGGTGTTATTTCTGGATGCACGACCATGCCCCGGGAAGTTTTTTCATACAAAAATCTTGAATATTATTTTTGTGCTAAAAAATTCAAACTTGTTTATTTATATGTAAAAAAAGTAACACATTGCTTCTTGTGCTGAAGCAGTGGCTTTCAGCCCCTCCCCCCCTTATAATTTACACATGCAAATGTCGAGACTGCTGCTTGACTAGCTGTGCTCGAGCCTGCGCTGCTTGGACCTTCCCGGCCTTCCATGGTGTCTGAGTCAGTGTAGGCTGCCTCGGTGTCTATCTTCTCCAGAACTGACTTAGGGAATACGTAGTTGTGACATCTGTTATGTCGCTTTAGTCCTGCATGTGCAGTCAGGAAGGCATTGGCTATGGGCATTGTCATCCTGTTTCAAACCTTGCTCTTGACGTTTACCTGGATAAACATGTGCTTTACTTTGGCATTGGACCAGAGTGGCATTAGGCACAGAGCATGAATTCCAAAAGCTTCTTGAAGGGATTTTCTCCCGACGCATCTCTCCACTTTGCTACTTCGCCCCAGAATGACACAGCGTCTGCCGTGCTCTCCCACGGAACCAGTGTGATCGTCCTTCATTGGAACTCGGTAACAGTGATGATTTTAGCTGACATGCCTTTTGTTTCACCGGAGGAATGAGGGACTCTTTGATCACCTGGAGTGTGTTGTCAGAAGAGAGTACTGCTGCTTGTCTCGTGATGTTAATGTTGTTGAGCAGCTGCAGCTTCATCCGTTCGAACGGATGACGAAGGAACTTAAAACGGTCTTCTCTGAATCTATCTTTGGCTTCCGAGGTGAGACCCTGTCCTCTTAAGTCTCGTGTCTTCTTTTCAGCCTCATACCCTAGGTGGGGCTTTGGGTCTATGGAGCTGTCTAGATCACGAGGCAGGGGTTCTAGCCTACACGTCGGCAGTACAGTCTTCTTGGCAAGGCCTTCAATGAGTAGACTGAGGTCGTTCATTAATGTGAGAAGGTTGGCATTGCTCAATTGAAAAGGTTTGCTCACAAGCTGCACCTCTGTAAGAGATGGTCGCAGAAAGAGAAAGTAGGCATGGTTTGTCTCATCGCTGTACATGATGTGCAGCATCTCATCTGCGTAACACTTCTCGCTGTGCCAAGCGATGTTGAAGTGGCATTTCAGTTTGCCCCACTGGGTTAGGATACGTGTGATGGCTGCCTCGATTGACAGCCGCCTTGTTTGGCTGGACTGCGCAGGTTTCATGGGTTCTCGTCGTCATTAATCTTTTGGTACAGCAGACGGTAGGCCACACGGTTCATTTCTGCTCAGCACTGGACAGAGAGTAAAATCGCTTGCGAGGAAATGAAGCGGGACATTTAGTACCTCCAGTTGACACGAGTTTCTAATGCATATTTGCGAGCCAATCAACAGTATCACAAATGCATGAACGATTTCTTAAAGCTGTGTAATGTCGCTGCACGAGCAGACACTGCTGGCTCCTCCGGCTGCATATTTGGCAGAGCGATACATACACTGCTGTGACTTTGGGATGTCGTCACATGCCACACTCCAACATTCTTATTGGATCATTGTGGCCGCACCATCCAGTTTGCCAAGTTATTGTGAGACAAAGTGTAGCAGCTGCTAGGGTTGATTGCATTATTTTTAATTGGATAGGAGCTTAGTATTTTTATAGCTGGCCACAGCTTGTTCACACGAAAGACGGTGACTCCAGTTAAACAAAAATGCTGTGTCCTGAAATGTTTCGGAGAGAAGTGCCAGAATTGTTCACTTCCCAGTTGTCCTCCAAGGCTCCAGTGAGGACAATTTGGCTAATTTCTCTTGCATTGTTGTCTCTAGTCGGTGACAGGTTAAGAGCGAAGTGGAAGCTCCTCTCACCTTTCTGCCCTTTGGCGGAGCGAATGCTGGGAGGAGGCGACTTCCTCTCCAGCATTTGCTCTGCTGAGATTCTAGTTGGCGTGACGCTCCAGTCATTGACAAGATCGCGACGGGAGGGCATCTCTGTCCGATGCTCGGCCTCCAGTGCGTGCTGGTTGCCCTCCGCTGTGCTTTGGCTGTGCATACCCGCTTGGGGCTCATGAGACGCCCAAGCGTTGGCGAAGGTAGCACGTGCTCGACAACCAAAGGACCTCCCAGTCGTTCTAACCCTGTCTGTAACTGTAGTGGCTCTGAACATTGCGTGGGATGTGTACAGCTATAGTACAGCTTTGGAGAAAGTCTAGAATGTTTTTTCATGTCCGATTTTTAGACCTTGGGTTCTCAAACTGGGTTCCCTGAACTCCCAAATTTTCTCAAATATCCCTACTCTTATGAAATGTCTTTTTTCCATTTTCAGCACTTTTTTTACCAGATCTGAGCCTCTCATTGATCCACAATTATGAGCTGAACACTACCTAGTATATGCATTATTGTTTACAAGGTCTGTAGCCTTCTTCACTGCTTAATGCATCAAGGCCGTGTCTGTGGGGTACATGGCTAGCAGTCGGGAAAGTTGGGGGTTCCTCAATGTCAAAAAAGTTTGAGAACCACTGTTATAGACCTTATTTCTTAAAACAAAAATTTCCTATTTGGTTGTGTTTTTAGTTTCCTGAGATAAAGGCAAAAGGCTTCTTTTGCCTGAAGTGACCCCTGGGGGGAGTTCAAAACTGCTTGAGTCAATGAATAAAACTGCTGGTTAACAATGTTTTTGTTATCATGTCCTTGCAGGAGGCAGATTCAGACCCCACAGGGGAGGCTGCACAGAACACTCATCAGACATTGACTTTTTATGAACTGGACTTGGGTCTGAACCACGTGGTTCGCAAGTACAGTGAGCCGCTGGAGGAGCATGGCAACTTCCTCATTGCTGGTGCGACTGCTTATATTTGCTCATATGTTGCATGAGATGGTTCGACTGAAAGCTGCTCTGCAAGGAAGAGATTCTTTCTGTTTTATGGTTTTTGTGTGCCAGGCTGTACATTGTGTCGTTTACCTACTGTTTGCTTTCTTTCTCCGCTCAGTGCCAGGAGGCAGTGACGGACCAAGTGGGGTACTGATCTGTTCTGAAAATTACATCACATACAAGAACTTTGGTGATCAACCAGACATTCGGTGCCCCATACCAAGGAGAAGGGTATGTACTCATTCTCTGCTCGAGTTTTCAGTGATGTCCTTTCATTCAACATTTGCACACGCTGCTTTCTAGGCAGGAAAGTTGCTTCATTTTGATGGCCTCTATTTGTATGATCTGGTAGTGTTCTGATATACCAACATTGATTGATGTAAGTGGCTGTCTAGACTGTACTTTTCTAGTATTAATAGAAGCCTATTTATAGCTCAATCTTTCAATTGACGATGCGGGTCGGGGGCACCTTTAAGAAAATATATGCTCTAAAATAATTAAACTTTATACTCGTTTGCACCTCAAGAACCGTAGTAAAAAAGTGAAAGCCGTTTACAACTCCCTGTAACGCCGAATTGGAGCGCAGCTCTTGGGGAGGAGGAGGAGGGAAGGGTACTGAGGGGAGGGTAGACCTCCTCCTCCTCCCCTCATTCTTGAATATGCTCCGGGGGGTCACCTGACTTCGGGGGAAGGGGGTCACGTGACCTTGGGGGGCCACGTGACCTTGGGTGTCACGTAACCTTGGGTGTGTGCCCTCTGGGGGTCTCGTGACCTCGGGTGACACATGCCCTCTGGGGTTCACGTGACCTCTGGGAGTCACGTGACCTCTGGGAGTCACGTGACCTTGGGGGTCACATGACCTCTGGGGGTCATGGGTCACATGACCTTGGGGGGTCACGTGACCTCGCGGTTACGCCGACAGTGACGCCGACGCCGCTCAAGCCGGAAACGGGCGCCTAAGAGCTGCGCTCTAAAAAGTCCAGCTTCTCGCGGAACATTACTAATTTCCCTACGTTGAGAATTAAGATATATTGCCGCAAATGCAGCTGACCAAGTAGGTAGTGCGCCCGTGGCCCAACGGTTATCACGCTTGCCTTTCACGCAGAAGGCCAGGGTTTGATTCCTGGCCGCGTCTACACATTTTTGTCAACGCTTTAATGTAATGCAGTGATGTGATTGCTGCGCCAATTGCACCAAACTGCGCTAAGGGGCTAACTCTGCTACATCCTGCTACATTTCGCCAAAATATGGCTAATCTGCGCCAAGCCTGCGCCAAAGGACCAATTTTGGTCGCTTTTCAAAAACGAAACTAAACTGACAACCGTAATTGAGCATGCGTGAGCTAAGTGGCACAAGAAGCCGCCCGACACAAAATACCCTGCGTCAATCGTCTATTTGGTCTGGCATGATTTTTTTTTTCCGTTATGGTGTACTAGAACTGTCTCGTGTTTCGCGCTCTCGTCGTCTCGGGAATCTCGTCTCGCATCTTTTTTCGTTTTTCTTTTTTTTTTTTTTTTTTACTTTTTAGCAATAGACGCGCGCGTGTGCGGACACTCCGACGTTAGTGTGCCGGGTTCCAGACATGCCGTCATGCTGTGAAACAAGACCATGTTTCTGCGCGGCGAGAGTTACTTTGTGAGCTGAAGCGCTCGCGCGACCACAGTCGCCGTGGTCGCGCGACGTCGTGTGTTGCCGTCCCCACGTCGCTGCAGATATGGCGCTTTCTAAATTGAAACGCATCGACATTCCTGCTCTTGTTTAAATCATACGCTGCTACAAAAATCCCTCTTTGACTCAATGACTGCTTTGCGAAGTTTTGCTTACCGCGAAAGCAAGTTGATCACGAGAAGTGAGCTAAAGCAAAGAAGGCAATGTCTGCACGCTGAACCCGCACACCGCGCTCGTTTGTCTCGAGTTCAGTCGTTGCACAAACCGCTCCAAGAACTTTTTGAGCCTGATTTGCAATGTCTTGCATCGATATGCTCAGGTTCTTTTTTTCTGTGTGTATAGCCTGTACCTCGCCTGCCGGCCTGGCAAGCACGCGCCGCTGGACTGTTTATTGTCGTATGCTGGACAGTTACATTTCGCATACTATTTTGGGAGCCAGTTGGCGACGGAGCGGAGTGGCACGGTTACGGTTTCGGTCGAACAGCCGTTGTCTCCGCTCGCGCGACGAAGCACGTGTAACTGCAAGCCTGTCGAAGTTGCCCACACGTGCATGTGAACATGATTGCACGAGAGGCACCAGCCGGGACGCTTGCAATCCATTGTTTTATGTTTGCTTACTTTTTATAAAAATTTGCACGTCGGAAACCAGTAAAACAATAGCAAGTGTTTTTTTTTTTTCGAAATTGCTTGGCAACGCCTACACCACTGTATGCTTTTGGGATGTCTCAGCAGCAAAAACACAAGCAGCGAATTTCGCCTCAACACGTCACATCACAACACAACAAAAAGTGCCCTTCGTTTGTCCAGCACTTAAATACTGTAAACGACTAAATTTCCGCGAGGACCTAATTTTCGCGAATTTCGTGAATCGCTTACAATTCGTGAAAAATACGTCCCGCGAACAATTCGGGCAATATGTGAACGCTACAGAAGCTACACTCGATTCGCGAAAATTAGAACCCGCAAATAATTTCAAATTTCCAGCTTTGGCCCCATTCGAGAAAATTTGAGCCCGCGAAAATTAAGTCGTTCACAGTATTTATTTTTCTAAGAATATATGCTCCAGGGGTGGAACGGCTGCGCCATTTGCGCCATTTTGTGCCAGACGCATTTGTCTGCGCCATCCTGCGCCATGTTGCGGAAACTGCGCCAAAGCCAATATCTCATGCCATTATGCACCAAATCGCAAAACGTGCGCCAAAAAAAACAAAAAAAACTGTAGTTTGTCTTGGTTGTGGTTTCTATCGACTCGATTGGGAACAATGAGCGCGTTTAGCTTGGTCGGCCTTGCAATCCTTTGTTTTGTTTATTCTCCCCGTGTACCCCGAGTCGGACGCGAGCGAAAAAACTTGGAGGTCGGATTTCAAGCGCTACACAGCCTGCGACTCCATTTTTACTCTTCAACCAGAAGCGGTTAAGCAAGTCAGCCGAGGTGAGGGCGAGTCGCTAAACGTCAGATTGCATGAGGCTCTGCTGCCCGGGATCCGGTTGTCAGCTAGTTGAAAACAAATGAGCAAAATATTCTGTTTCGTACTTCATCGTTAGAAGTTGGAACCGCATTCCCGCAAGATAAATCGTGATTTGATAGAACTGGATCGCGGTCCTATCCGAAACCTTGCCGGCCAGAAGCTCCCACGCGAGCGGTAGATCGGCTCGGCGTACTTTAACCTTGCTCCTTCTTATCGCTTCGAATACGAAAACTTTGTTAATCGTAGTCTGCTGTTTCGATATTAACTTGCACAATAGGATAAACTCGAACTTTGTTGCCCTGTTCCTCCGCGCAACTGCACGTCCGTTGCTTACGCACGTCACTTGGTTCGCACATATATAACTACTATGTCAACCACGTGTGGGTTGTGAGATAAGCAGTGCTGGTTTGCATTTTGAGCAGCGGAAAGCCACTTAGAAAATATCCAGAACACTATCTTCAACAACATATGGTACTTGTTTTTTGTTTTTTTTTTTTTGGTTCTCATTAAGGCTCACAAAGTTTCAAGTTTTCGCATCTGTTACACTGTTATCCCATCTACCTAGGTCCCAACCAGTCATGTTCATCTGCACTGCTAAGCACAATCGAAATTGCTCCCGTGCTTGTCTCAGACACAAGCTGAAGTGCAATGAAAACTTATCTGAGCCTGCTCCAGAATGTAGTTTTAGCTGCTCCCAACTTGCTCCAAAACAGCTGTTTCAGCTGCTCCCGTGGCTGCTCCCAAGTTCATTTCATGAGTTCCACCCCTGTGCTCCAAAAGTCACTTTTTCTGCTCCGAAACACTCTTTTGGCTGCTCCAAAAGCCACTTTTGCTGCTCGAAAACACTCTCTTGCCTGCTCCAAAGGTTACATTTGGTGCTCCAAAACACTGTTTTGGCTGCTCCAAAAGGTGCTCCAAAATGGCTTAGGCCAATCACATCACTGGTAATGTTCTGGTAAATTCGAGAACCGTCTTGCTGATTCGAGGTTAAAATGTTCTACGCACCGAACCTTCTACACCAAATGTTCCAGAAGCCCACGCGTGTACAAAAGGGGCTCCGCGTGGCAAGCCGGAGTCAGTCTTGCCCCAGTGTTCGATCCTGCTGCTATGCCGCCATCGACGCCTGCGACGCTCTAGTGTTATCCTCTATTTTCCTTTTGTTTTGGGCACAAGTTCGCCCCATTAAACGTTTAGTTTGTTTCAGTTTTCGTCGCTTCATTAACTGTTATTCGTGACAATATGTAGGACCATTTCAGATTAGATATATGTTATCTTATGAAGACCTAAATGTTTCAAACGCCAAAAGCATCGCTGCTTCCTCTGACAACCAAATCTTCATAAGATCTACTTCGCGCGGCGTATGAACAATGCACAAAACTTCCTTTTTTCTTGAGGTGAAAATGAGTATAGATACTTATAAGCTTTTTTTTTTCTTTTTTTTTTTTATAACAGATACGTATTAGCTTTAACGTAGCTTGTATACACGTTTGCAAGTCCGGCTTCAGGGCGCTGCCATCTTGCCTGTCTGGGGTGCGCTTGGACCAGTCTTAATCCGATTACGAAGCCTTGCTAAGGCGTCGTAATCGGATTATGGCCGCTCCCGAGAGCGCACCCCACTGAGGAAGATGGCGGCGCCCTGAGACTGGACTTGCAAACGTGTATAGTTTTCTGTTCAGAGGCAGAAACAACTACATTGAAGGGGTTTCGTATGTGTGCATGTGGGTACACTAATTGTTTTTGAGTCTGGTGCAATAGCTCATGCTCCCTATGTAGTAGTGCTGGTATTCATCCAGAAACTGTGTACAGATTTTTATTTTAAGGAGGGACATGAGCCTAAATTTTAATTATTTTTTTAAAAGGTGCATTTTTCAATTTTGAGGTTTTTGGTTTTAGAAACTAATTGTACACCCTTACATTAAATTTGAAAACCATACCATATTTTCAACACATTTTGAGGCAGTAGCAAAGTAAAGGAATTCAATGTTTGAACGCGTTTTTCTCAATTCCACTTTTTGCTGCAAATTTCATACAAAGGAATCTTTTGTTCGAAGGTAAAAGTATTCTGTTACCACAATAAAGATGTTTCTGAACTGA